TAAATCGTTCCGGTGTTTGACTCTCTTTCTTCTTTACCGAGACGAAACTTCCTCAGTCTCGCAACACGACTAGGCTGAGCGACCGACTAATGCAACGCTGAGCAGTGGCACCACTGGACAGTTCGCTTATGTAGTCAGTAAAGACATGCCACTCCATGAATTTCCTCAGTACCTGAATGGCGGTAATTCTACTGACTTGAAGGCTTCTGTGATGAGGATGAAGTGTGCAGCGCTCTCAATTTCCATCATCTGGTCTGAATCAATGACCTATGACTGTGTAGTAACTGAATGTTTTGTCATAGGAGTATTACGGCTCAGACAAGGCACCGTGATATAGCTATTTCGGGCTATTGGTCGCTATTAGCTCCACTCCGCACCACAGTTTGACGATCCTTACCTCGGACTCAAGGGTTTATTTTAGGTTAGGTGTCAACATTTAAAATCACACTAGCTCAAGACATTAATTAAATTGTCAAGGTTGAACAAACTTGACTGGGCATTATTTCATGAGTAGTAAGTGAATGGGCATTACACATCTGGCAGAGAAGAGTTGTTTCTTCAATCCAAACGAACCAGACTTTATCAGGGTAACTATATACCGACAGCCTCTTTCGAAATCTTGCACACCAGCGGTATGACCAGACATACGCATAGCCCTTCATGTAATAAGTTAAATTCTTTGGGAAACAGGAAGCTTTTTCGTCTGAATAAGCGCGTAATTAGCCAACTCATTTGTATGTTCAAAACAGTTAATTTTTATTACGACCTACCACTCCCACTGGTTACTGTTTATATCAAGCTGAACTGCAGACATTGGCGTAAATAAGATGGGCGGTACCCTACTCGCTAGGCTCTTCGCTGTATTTATACCAGAAGGCTTACGCCAGCTATTAAAGCCAGTACCCCTGTACATCTCCTGGAAAATTATGAACAACGTACTTTGCATGAAATATACTGAACGCCATACTGGGCTTGAAACGCGGAAGTGAGCTTGAAAGAAGAGGGTATAAAAAATAAGGCGTGGTCGATGTTACACAAGTCGTCCTCACTATCATCCTGCTGACGTTCAAGTCATCACCCTTCCTCTGGGACGACTGTGGTCATCGTCGTTTGCGATATACGAACTCAAATTTGAAAAAAGTCAGAATCCCGGGATATTAATTATAATTAACCTTCTGCTCACCGGAATAAATTTGAAGATTTGCTGACGTTTCGGACAGCTGGGCCGGCTGTCCTTTGTCGAAGCGGATACTGACTTTATCGATCAACAAGTTAAAAGTTGCGGCTGTAAGTGTTGGCCTTGGGCTGATCGATATTTCTCCGTTCGCTGTCTGACCTTGCCCCTTGGCCAATACTAGTGGCCTTGATGGTTTTGTATCGATTTTTCTGCATGAATTTAATTCTGTAATTTCACATTTGTTACTCTGTTTATGCAGCGAGTGGAAGCAGCTGATGAGCGCTCGCGAAATTTATGTTTCCATTAAATTTTTCTACATACGCAGTCTTCAAACGTGTGGATTTTGGCTTGGCGTGACGGCAATTGGTGGTCTGTACTGTCCCCATGGTAAAGGATGCTGGTTATCCTGCTCCCTCTTCCGGTGGTTCCGTCACAGGGCCGTCTTCGTCTGCAAATCCTAGATTCGGTTTGACCATGCCCTGTTCTTTACTTACGAACTGTCCAAAAGTTATCCGAGTCAAGGCTACAATTTCACTTATCATGAAAACAAACTCGTGGTTACACTGCAGACTTATTGGTGGACTCTGCAATCAACAAGGAAGTAGTTGGCCGCATCTTCGACATTTCGGTGATGATCTTTACGGCGTCCTCCTCGTTTCGACAGTAAGCCTACTGATTATGCCCGAAATGGGGTCCCCTGACTCGCCTCTCTGACGGCTGCTCCTGTAGCTAGTCGCACGTTTATACGATGGCGAAATGTATCCCTTGCCATTATTTTATTTCGCCTACGAGGAGGAGCGTTTCGACCCGTCAAACGCTCTCCTCAGCACGACAGTCCTATCTCACACGTATATTTTCCTCCAATGAACGACAGCTGTTCCTTCCTCCTAAAAAACCACAAATCTCCTTCTAACTTCTATAGTTTCTAGAAAAGGTCCGAGGAGTTTTTTCACTGTCCGCTCTTTTTGCTTTTTCCCCCCACCTCATTGCCTCGGGTCTATTGGCATCGCCAGTTAGCTGAAGTAAAATTACCGAAGTAACTACTGCAAAATTATTCTCCTTCGCTGTAACATTTTGTGTGACTATTTCGTTCCGTCCACCCGGACAGATTTGCTACACTCCCTTCTATTTTAATGTTGCATGTTTAAACTTTTTGACAACATCCCGTGCATGTAAACGACTAGAGAGTTCAGGGGTACCCACCTTCGTTTCCCTCAAACAAAGTGAATTGAACATAAGACTCGCGAGCATAAATTAGACAAAAGCAACCTTGTGTCTAGCCTCTACGTCACAGATGCTGAATGAAAAACGGTGTCCAGGCAAGTGCAGAATGGTAACTCTGCCTACAAAGTCCTACGACCTCACGTGAGTAATGGACGGGACAAGGTCACACCGAACTTAGGAATTGCAAACGAAGACGGCCCTGTGAAGAAACCACCGGAAGAGGGAGCACGATTACCAGCATCCTCTACCGTTGGGATGAAACACAACACCAACTGCCGTCAAGCTATGCCAAAATCCACACGGAGGGCCAAGCAGTGAACGGAGAAAATCGATAAGCCCATGGCCAACACGTACAGCCACAACTTTGAACTGCTGATCGATAAAGTCACTTTACGCTTTGACGAGAGACAGCCGGCCAAGCTGTCCGAAACGCCAGCGAACAAATAAACTTATTTCTGTGAGCACAACATTATATCTGATTCTTGTCCCTGAATTCTGACTTTTTCAAACTTGAGTTGGGAGCATGATTACCAATTGACAGAAGCAGAACTGCTGTTCCCGACTGAAGCTAGTTTTCCAAGGTAACTGTATATATCTGGTGGCGCAGGTTTCCACGGCGAAATTTCCAATAATCTGTGTTGTTCTGAACGTACTAACCAGAGTTCGCAAGAAACATTGGTAAAACACCATGACGGGTGCGCCATATTACAGATGGTCTCACGCCCACTTCTCGGTAGGGGAGGGTTACGACTAGCTCGAAGGGTTTGTGGCACGATATGGGGTGGCCTCCTGGAATTTAATACAAGGCCGCCTGTATTTTAGGGTTGGGGTATCTACTCTTGTTCCTGTATATTTTCTGGATTTTCAACGTTAGACGTGTAGGCTCGTGGTTTTATCCTGCTAGTCAAACCCTATAGACGACAATGTCGAAGACAGAGGAGGATTTCTTGTCTCGCCTTAACGGGACTTAACCGTAGCACCAGGAATGTACAGTTATGAAATGCCACACAGTAGCAAATGAAAGCGGTCCGATTTTAGAGAAAATAACTTAACACAACTGTTGTATAGTCTCTCCTAGATTTCCCTTCCACATACGATTGCTTTAAACAGTCTCCGGGTAAGACAATAAATCCGTTCCCTGCCACTTAACTGCTGCCTTTCGATATACTGGTATTTCCTGCTACTCGTTATCGACAACAGAAAGCCTTACTGTTCCAAAAGCGCATTTCGAATTTTATCCAGTTGAAGCAAGCGAACTACGACAGCGTGAACCACTCCCTTCGGAACTGATACCGGCGCTTGTTGGAAAATTTTCCTAATGTGGGCATACTCTTCAGGGATGTGGTTTTAAACCACCCTCCCAGTCTGCAAACGCCATCAGCCGCGTGCCAAGTCAGTGCGTCGGCTAGAACAGTCCATCCCTGGGTTAGCAATAATACCGGGGTGACGCCGTTACGTAGTCAATGCGACGCCGGCAACAGCCTTGGCCTTAGTGTTGATTGGCCAAGAGCATTGGCAGCTGCTGCAAGGCCTATTCGACAGTCAGACGAACAATTAAACCAATGACAATGCTAGCTGTATTTTCAGCCTGCTGATTGGTTGTCCTGACATTGACACGCTGCGTCATCTTCGGCAGCGTTTCAGGGCGCACAGGCCGTATGAATTTAAGCACAGGCGTAGAGCGCAGCGGATATTATTTCGGAACGCTTACTCGCTGCGCAGTGTTCTCGTCGGGTCCACATTCTGTGTGACTTGATCTGTTATATGGATTTTACTATGGCTGATGACACGACAAGTGATGTGGAATATCAGTTACCATCCGCAACTGCTCGACTGGTTATGAGAAGCTCGGCTGAACTTGGAATCAGTACGTTTGCCTTCTGTTTTCTCTTACCTTTTCGATACCCTACTCTCCACTTAAGTCCAAGACTCTCGACTGAATTTTCCAATTTTTAAAATATGTAAGGGGCCACAGCTTCCCGTGAGTAGGATTTTCGAATTTGAGTGAGATGATTTGAAGAAAGACCCAGACTGTCCTTGAGTTCATTAATCAAAGAAAGTTCAACTTTCTTCTGGTCATTAAGAAATAAGTTTTAATCCATAGGACACCTAAAATACTTCAAACCCTACAGTCACCAACATCGTAGTCGCCTGTAGCCTATGATATCATTTATCGGTCTCATGTGCAGTTGACTGAAACAAATAAGGAGGTCAAATAAACAGAGCTGGACAGTTCATTTAGAAGTACCTAATTGGAATATTCAAATCTGGTCAGATTATCGTTTCACGTATTGTCATTAATGACAGTTGTGATCCTAGGGTAGCATAATTTCCTGGACACTTCTGTAGCTTTCGGCTCAGCTCAAGCATGTGTAGCTTAACTTTGACGCAATATTATTTGAAAACCCAAGCGTTTGTGTCTGGCAGTATCTGCCCGCTTAATATATTTTTGGGGTCAAATAGGTCCAAATGGGTCTCAAGTAAATTACCCTATGGAATTGTGTCGACACCTAACTACATTCTAATTTGGGTTATGAGCAAATAATGGACCCGGAGTTTACTTTTCTGCATTTCCCAACTCACAACTCAGTATTATCATCCGTTTTTTCCACGTTACTCCAGACCTAACAATATACCAGGGTCGAGGGGAGTTCGTTAGCCGCTACAGTCGAGGCGAGAAGCTTGGTGGAGGTGGCTTTGGCAGTGTCTTTCGCGGTAGTCGACTGGAAGACGCCTGTGATGTGGTCATCAAAGAAGTGAACACAAACAAGGTCCCCTGCTGGTGTGCTGTAAGTCGCCTTGACCGCCTTGGTAAAATTTAGAAGTTCATCGGCTTTGTTCCTGCGCCTAACTCAGCCCACACCCTATTCTTCTTCCTCTTCCAGCTCGACGGTGTTCTTGTTCCCATCGAGGTCGTCCTCCTGCAGATGTGCCAACACCTTCACGGTGTTGTGCGGATGATGGATGTATTTAACTTGGGCGACACCTGGGTCATTGTGATGAACGGCATCAGCAACTCTGTCTGCGATATGTTCGACTACATTTGCGAGCGTGGCACACTGGCAGAACCCGAGGCGGCCTTCTTCCTGTACCAACTCATTGGAATTCTTTTTCAATGTCACAAAGCGGGTGTTTTGCACCGCGATATCAAGGACGAAAATCTCCTGATTGACCGCAGCACAAATGAGCTGACGCTTATTGATTTTGGCTCGGGAGCTTTCCTGCATAACGACCTCTATACAGACTTTGATGGTGAGTCGACCAGAGTTTGACATGTCTCTTAACGCAGTCCCGAGAAAGCCTAATCAGAAACGGCGTTTTCCACTCCGAAGCACT